AACACCGAAAGAAATGGCTGAGCGTGAGAGTGGGCGCAGAGCTTCTACCCCCGGCGAGTAAGGTTATCCACGAACGATGCGAAAACTTGTATACCCCTCGGCCCAGAAGGGGGGGTACCACCTTTTGAATTTCAATGGCTGACGATCCGCGGAGAATCATAAACGGTTCCGGTGAAGACTAAGTACCGGGGGCACTAACGTTTCATTCCCCTTCGGGATATCCTGCCGGCCCTGAATTCAAATCTACTAGGCTTTTTATGTAGAAAGGCCCATTTACTTTGCAGCTAAAATAGTGACATATGTATTAATAATTTTTTCAAAAACTGACTCAAACCATTTTTGTTGTACGCGTGATCCACCCACAGAATGCGATGCAAAACACGCTTGAATAGGGTTCCAGGAGGGACTACGCTTAAGCTTATAATTAATAATTACCTCATTGTTTTAGCGTTGTTTTTACAAGTGTTGAATTTACATATGTTCATTTGGAAGTATTTGAGACAATTGTACCAAATTTCATAAACATCATAGGATGAACTTTTTCAAAAACAACAACCCTTCTCTCGTTTAGCTAGAGTCTAATAATTTGAGAACCTCTGTAGAAGCTCATCTATCAAATACACAAAAACCAACCGTAAAGCCATTTAACTTCCCATTTAATTAGCCGATACATTCATAAATAAAATCGTCTTGACGTTCCGCAAGAATATCCCGTTTCAGGCATCCGTAATACGAGCTTCGGCCCTTCTTTGGCGCATCCCACGGGATCGGTAAAAGAAAAGAAGGAAACCGATCGTCTCGGTTAACGAGCGTCGGTACATTGCGTAACAAACTCTCGAACATTGGCCAGCCTTTATATTCGTGGAATTGTCGAAGCGTTATCGGTGACCGCTTCGTTAAAGCCGCCATTGTGCCACAGGGCCCTCCGTAGGTGGCTACATAAATCCGGGACTTATTGAGCCGCGGCAGTTAAGTACGGGCGGTTAAAACAATTAGCTGCGCCCGACGCGGCTGCAGTAGCCCCGGTGTAAACAGCCCTCAGCAGTAATTCTGTTATCGGCGCTCGGCGAGCATTCATAGGCTTAACAGGGCTTATTTCCCTCTGCCTCTCTTGTCCACTTACTCCCCCATCTTTCTCTATCCCTCTCTGTGCACCTCCTGTCCAACAGCGTTGAATTAGTAGCTGAGTTTATCATGTGTAGAATACATCAATGTGAATAAGAGCGGTGAAGTCAGCTTTTCGAACTTTGAAGTTTTCATCGTTGTAAAAGGTGTTCGTAAACAACTTTCACGCTTTGGTGAACGTTTCGATGAATGTCTGGAGACTGTGTCACGTCCTCCGGTTCTAACCATCGCGTGAGTATGTTTTGCCATCTAAATTTGAAATATAGTGCTCGTTATGTCCTTATTGGAGTTGTACAGAGATAAGTGTCATTGAATGTACGCTCCGCAGCTTTGATTAATCTCGTGGTGTTAGTTTTTCAGGTCCTTTTTCTTGTGGTTGTAGTTGAAAAGGCATCATCTCGCTGGGTATACTTTTATTCTGTGCGTTTGTTAAGTGAATATCAAGATAGGCTGGGTTAGGTCTTGGACGCTTGACTAATTGACTGAACATTACTTAGTTATTTTCATCAGTTTTGGAGAAATTGTGAAAAAGTGTGGAAAAAACAACCCCGTGCATAACATGGCATTCCTACAACACGGTTTCTAACGCAATTAAAGGATTGTGTAGAACAGTGGTTCCCAAACAATGAAGATCGAACGTCACCGCAATGAAAATTTAGAAAGCAAGATAAAAATTCTACCGGTACATTCGTGCCCGGGAATAGCGAAACGAAACGCGCCGCTGTAAAATACTTTTACCGTTCCTGTACATCCGCTCGCGTTTTCATCAGCACGACATTTTCAAGCCGGATACACTCGCGATCACAGGGATTCAACGTTTTATCAGCGGATTCATTGTTGGTATAAAAAATAACTACAATTTATATGCTGCACAGTATTGTTTTTGCAAACACGCTCCAGCTGTTTTCCTTTTTAATACGGCCCCGTTTATAATTATAACAGTGTAGAACGGGACGATGGTGAAGCACTACCAGATAGAGCAGAATTTCTTGACAGAGACGTCATACAGATATACATACGAGGAAAAGAAAATTGCGATAACGATACAGGAGCACTGACTTCCGCAGTGTATGTCCACTGGGACACATACTAGCTGTGCCATGATAATAGAAAGGAAAGTTATCACTTGTGGACTTAAATTCAGAATTGAGTTAAGAATACAGAAATAATTTTAAGAATTCGTTATCTAAATTTACCAAACTTATTTCGGAAATTATACTATTTTATAACGTAATTCAAACATCTAGGAATATCTAAGTGTTTAAATGTTAAGACGACAAAATAGTTTTAGTTATATCGAAACAAAAGTACAGACTTTTATAAGAATGTGTGAATTACCTATAAATCACCCTCTATTCATTTCGTCAGTCTCCATAGTCTAAAATTACACCGAAAAAGGTTCACTTAAATCTTAACCCTTTAAGGTCCAAATTATGTCTCAAGTTTTCTCAAGAGTCTCGAACTCTTTGTGTTTGTGTATTTCGTTCTAATAAACAATCTGTATGAATTTTATTTAATTATCTAGTCTTTCGAATTTTGCACGAACTACCTTAACTACTCACCCTCTCTTTCTCTCGTCTTCTGCCGGTTATTCTGGCTTGATTCCTTTGGGTCTCGATATCCGCCGAAAACGAGACTGATCCCGGGGATAACCGAAGGTTTCCACAATGATGCTTCAATCACTGTTCACGACACTTCGACGTTATTTTATACAGAGTTGGGCAAAATATAATTTAATTACAAAATGTAAATTCCAATTACAATGTAATTGCAATGTAATTGCGGAACAATTACAATTACCTTGTGATTTTTATTGTAAATTTAATACAGTTAATTACAATGTAATTGTACTTGTAATTGTCTTGTAATCACATTGTAATTGTGATTTGGATTTTGTAATTAGATTACATTTTGTCCAACTCTGATTTTATACGCGATTCAGGGGAGTTAATCATGGATCCGACTAGTTGACGCGTTAACAGGACAACTTGAGTTAACCTAAAAATCAACATATAAATAATTAATGATTTTTTACTAATAAACTTCGAATTTCATATATTTTTAATATAAAGACTTTGCGTGAAGTTCCACACCCCAGATAGCACATGACGCCTTCATGACACCCATTTTGCGGTTATTTTAGATCTGAGGCGCCTTTAAGCCGTCATTAAACTATCTGTGTGCTATCTGGGACGCGTTATTTTTACTGACTATGTAGTAACATTACTTGTTGAGGTAACGATTATTTTGAATAGTGCATAAAAAATAAAAGAAATTGTATCTATCAGTGAAATAAAAAAATACATTACTTAAATTACCTTATCTTTCACTAACTTAAGTAATATTATTTATTCCAATAATTTAAAGACTAAATAAGGTTTAGTTTCTGGTGCAGGCAGACTTTTTACAGACTTTAACGATTTGTATGTTACTATTTCTGTAAATTATAAATATTTCAAATACGTTTTTAATATACAAACAGTTAATATTGTTTCAAGGAAATATTTCTACAGAAAAGGTAAATAAAAGGGAAACAATTCTCAAGAAAACTACGGGGAAAATTGCATTGTCCTGAAAATACGAGTGAGATCGAAACTCAGACACAGTTCTCGGTGCATTCGGCATGGCAGGAAGAATCAGAACGTACGGAATAATGGTTCAGGAAGTTGCTGCTTCCTTATCAATGAAATAAATCGTTTGCGTGGGAGGGAGATTTCTCCTCGAACGGCACTATCTTTTTTCTTCCTCTCTAGTCGCCTGTCGATACCCTGACAACATTTACGGTTACTGGACTTCTTCGAAATACTCCTTAATTTTAATTTGTCTACTTAAACTCGACCAATGGTCATCTAATTTACAATATTATTAAATCTACTTATAAAAGAAAAACTATGATAAATATAAAATTAATACAGAAATTAAAGTTCGACATATTATGATCGAATTATTCTCACTCTGTAAGTAAATCTGATTATTTCGTTGAATCTATAGACAAAGCTAAATCTAAGGCATTAAAAAGAGTGGAAAAGAACGTCAATGAAACATTATAATATATTTGATATATAGTTGCTCTTACAATATTGTACATATCATTATCCTTCACTGTAATAAATTTTCAGTGAACAGACTATTTTATAATATTAATTTCTTAGCTGCAATAGATAACCTAAAGCATTTCATGGAAATATTGCAGGCCCTAAATTTCTTTAAATAAACTAATATTTAGGAAGAACTGTAACCATAATTAATAGTTTCAACCAAGCCAGAAAATAACCCTCTTGTAGTCACTGATGCCATTATAAATAATAGATAAGGGAAAAGAAAACATTACAACTGACATTAGTATTATAAAAGTAGCTACTAAATAGCCTAGGCTAGTAAGTTCACATTTTCACAAACTGATTTATAAACACTGGGGTTAAGTGGAAATTGAATTCCCCCATAGGTGATTTTATCAAATAGTAAACAAAAGTAAGTCTGTATTATACTTTAGTAATTTATTAGTAACATAATTTTGTCGGGAATGAGCAATTTAAATTCTGATATTTCCGTCACCATAAGTAGGAAACGTAACGACCTTTTTTAAGAAAGAAATATCGTATGTATATGTCACTATTTAAGTAATACTTCTACTTCTCGGTAGGAAATACGCTTATATGTATGCTCAGGTATGCAAATATAATATATTTGCACTTTTTGCAATAGTAAAAGTAATAATAATTTCTTAAATTACGAACCGTGCTGCACCCCCGAAACTGCTGGATTTCCGTTCAAATGTAACAGAAGACACCTAACGGACTAACGAAGAACTTGTCAAGAAAACTGCCCTCTTATTGGTCGAATTTGAATTAGTGTAAAAAGTGGTTGTGCGTGGTCAACGTGTATGATGTCAACGGCTTTATGGCGCGATCGTGCGAGCGTTCGTCGAAAGTTGGAATACAATTTTCAATAAATATCCATGGAAACTTGTGATGGAAGTGCTTTACGCGGGTCCCGTTATTGAGTTCGTGAGTGATATTCAGATGAATTGATGCACATAACAGTGTAATTGGTGTAAAGGCGAGGTATTAGACAAAAGATTATCGCAGACCTGTTGCGTGCATCTTTATACATGACAAAACATTGTGATTTCGTTTGAATAACGCTAAACCAATTCGAAGATGACCACGTCGTTGTCGTTGTTGGCGAGCCACGATGAAGTGGTGCGATGCACGGACGTGCTCGTGAATGGAGCCTGCGATGAAGGTTTGACTCTAATGTATTTTTATCTCTTACAATGCTTCGTTCGTTCACAAGGCATCTTTAGAAAATGTCTTGGCAAGATGCGTACACAATTCTAGTAAAAACTGAAAGGAATCCTACATTTCGTATATTATTCCACATAAATAGTGCAAATGAAATTAATGCAATATTAGTCTGGTCGATGTCAGAAATCGTATAATCTATAGTTTGTTGTATTTTTGTCTACCTATTTTAATATTTGAATTTTATTACTCTGTTCCATTTTTACATTGCGAACTGTTTGATAAGTTATCGTACAAATCTACAGAAAACAAGCATTAGTAGTAAAAATATTTTTAAATAGTTGTATTGCTTCATTGTATTGGTCCATCGTATGTGGTTCAATAAACAGTGAAGGTGTTAAGACTACTTATTTTAATTTATGCCGATTAGGTACTAATTTGGGTTTTTTGTACAAATATCTTCCTTCATATTGTCTTTAGGTTCCTTTTCTTTAAATCAGAGCATGGTACTCATATGTTTGTCAATATATGAATGATTTAATTGTCACTGAGAAAAGCCATGTCTTAATGTCTGTTTCTGTCTCTTGATATACTAGCAATATAGTATGTTCAATCTGAAGTTAATTTATTTTGCATTACAACTTTTTTTTTATAGAATTTCTACAATTTGCAATAAATCAAGAGGAAATGAGACAGAAATGGCTGGCATCGATACAAGAATGTCAGCGACTTCATTCAGCTTTAGAAAAAGCTCACCAAGAAGCAGCAGATTTAGATCGTAAATTAAGTCATGCTAGAAGACTGTTAGATGAGGAGAAACGAAAGAGGCGGAATGCAGAGGAACAAAGAAATTCATTGGTAAATTCAATATTTCTTTGTAGTCTCACATGGTTTCATAGTATAATTTCATTATTTATATATACATATATAGGAGAGACAAATTGCCATGGCCAGAGATCTTTTATTTAATGATGGTGGAAGGAATTTAAATGATGAAACCAGAGAAAAGTTACAATTCCTAAATAATACTACATTGAATGGGCGCCATAGTAACATACATATCAAAGATTTACACCAAAATGATAAGTAAGTTTAGATTTATAGGTAAAAGCATTTTTGCAGTGTGGGGTAGATATTCAGTACCTATTGTTTCAGATTAAATACTATAGCGGAGCTGGACTCCACTGGCTCTATATTAAGCGATTTAAGTTGTTTTTCAAAGTCGGAAGATGATTTAGATAACAGTGTAATTGTTCAGCAAAGTCAAAAGAAACGTGAATGGAAAGAACATAGACCCAGTGGTGAATATTCCACAAAGAAACGTCGTAGCGCAGTACAGAAAGTTGCCGAACTAAATTCATCTGACAGAATAGTAGCCACAACTACTGTAGTCATGCCTAAAGAAGGTGCTATCACTGCATCTTCTGTAATTGAAGCTATACCAGGGGATGAGAATGCAAACCCACAGGGTCCATTGCATAACACATGCAAAAGACGCAAAAGTGGCGATCGCAGTAAATCGAAGTTAACATCCGTTACCACAAAGGATGTACACATTGACATTTTAGTGAGTGATTCCTCTATATGCAGAATATTTGTTGTTAGGTCCCGTGTATATCATTTCAACGAATTTTCTTATAGCCATCTGCACCAAAAGCTGATATTCTTACATCGGGATCAGATTCTGAGGGCGTTTTTAAACCTAGTCCAAATATAGGTGGATATACTTTAAATACAAAGTCTGCAAGAGGTCATAGTTTTATAGCAAAAACAGTGATTAAACCAGAAATTTGCACACCATGCGACAAGAGGTACCAACATCCACACTAAAATTTAATTCTATTCCTGTAAATAATTCAGACACTCATGCTAAGCCACTTTTTAGAATTCGTTTTGGTAAAGTAGCTTTAAAGTGCAGAGATTGTAAAGCTACTGCTCATACAGAATGTAAAGATTTGGTACCATTACCATGCGTGCCTACAGGAAATACACCTACTTTACGTGGCACTTCTGTAAGTCGTTTATATATTTACAAAACATTAATTCAATACACACTTTTGGAAAAAAAAAATATACATAAATATATACTATCATAATTCTTAGGGAACCATAGCAGACTATACTCCTATGATTCCACCAATGGTACCATCACTGGTTGTTCATTGTATCAATGAAGTGGAATTAAGAGGAATGAGTGAGCAAGGATTATATAGAGTAAATGGTGGTTCGGCAGAAGTGAAATCTCTGAAAGAAAAGTTCCTCAGGGGCAAAGGTGCCCCCAATCTCTCTGATGTAGATATACCCACCATATGCTCGACTCTTAAAGATTTCTTGAGGTATATTTATTTCAATATTCAGGTGCTAATAATTGTAGAGGCGAAGCAATCATCTTTATTTCTTATTATTAGGTCGTTACGGGAGCCGTTAATTACTGTAGGATTATGGGCCGATTTTGTTCGAGCCACTACTATTACCGACAAACAAGATGCTGATGCTGCATTATATCAAGCAATTTCTGAATTGCCCCAACCTAATAGAGATACACTTGCCTTTCTAATATTACACCTACAAAGAGTATCAGGTAGTCCAGAATGCAAAATGCCTATAAGTAATCTGGCTAAAGTTTTTGGGCCCACATTGGTGGGTTACAGTTGCCAAGAGCCCTCACCAACTTCTTTGCTTTCGGAGACTAAAAATCAAGTCGCGGTAAGTTTTTGCAACGTGACACGATATTTTGAACAATCCATTAAAAATGGGAAAAATTTTTACAGATAGTCGAAAACTTACTGAAAATCCCCTCTGATTATTGGGCAAATTTCGTTAATCCTGAAAATTTAAATAGTATTGCTACTCATAAGACTGCTGAGCTAAGACATACACCATCCACGGAATCTTTACTTAAGCGTAGTACTTCCCGCGGTTTTATGAGGCGAAATAAAAAATACTTTGCAACGCCTCCCTCTAAAGGAGGTTTTTGAAAAGAATAGGTATGTACTTAATTACTCAAATCGTGGTACAAATACTGTGCACTAATTATCGACTATTAAAACATAATTACATTTTAGTATTTACAAATGCGCAACGAAACAATTCTATATTTTGTTCAAAAAGTTGCAACTATTTAATGCAAATATCTTTCTACGTAATATGAGGCAAAGTACTATTAATTTTCAATATTAGTCTGTTTGAAATTAAAAAGAGATTAAACTGTTAGTAATATAATGCATTAAATATAATTATTTTGTACATGTGAGTAAATATATTAACAATGGTAATCTCAATATTTTTTTAAATTGAGACTAAAACATAGTTACATCATTCAATTTAGTACAACACATTACATTTATGAGAAGATATGTAAATGTTGTGATATTTTTTCTTTTTTATATAAGTATGTCCGAAAATATGCGACCAAATAAGAAAACAGGTTGTTTTACTTCAATATGACCAGTTTACTATATAAATACACATATGAGTAACAAAAATTACAAATTTATTATTACTAGTTTTGTTAAAACAACATATTCCTTATGCGAACTAAGTAAATTCGTTAATGTACATTACAAACATTGCTTTTAAGTTCATTTACATCTTCTTTTTTAAGCGTCGGCAAATATTTTCAATTTGTACATATTTTCTTTATCACAATAATAATAATAATTCATCACATATATATTACATTTAAATTAATTTTTTTATAATTTAAAAGAAATACGCATTCAATTATGGCAAAAATAAATTTCGTCGCTGTTGTAATTGAAGGCTAAGCTTGTGAAAAACACAACTTATCTGATATTTCATTTGACACTCTTTAAGTTGCTCGTGTGCACGATTTTTCTTTCATTTCCCAGCAGTATTCCCAAAATTGCTTCAGTCTATTATCTCCATTCGAACAAAAATGTCTAAAGTCTTGAATGAGTTTCTTTTGAAATAATTCATCGCCGGCCAGCGTGGATGATGATTTCCATTTCCGACTAACCATATGATTCCACGACCAAAGAAATCCAATCTAAATCAGCGAAAGATTATTTCTTTGTTCCCTTCGTAAGGATACACCATAAACTTACCCTTCTATCCATGTTATAATCATTTTTATTTTTTCCGCTAACGTGTCTCGTAATATAAGCCTCGTGTGGGCTAGGCTGATCAGGATGAACTGGATACCCTTTTTGTCCCGTGTTTCGTCTTACAACGTTTGTGGACGTTCTGGGGCGAAACCTTGTGTTTGTCGTAGAAGGAATAAGTATAAAAGCATTACCAGTCATATGAACATACTGGTGATCGTTTTCTGTACTTTCTATTAGACAGGGGATAAAACCAAATCTCTGTACAATCGCTTCTTGAAATAGAAATAGCCGTTGTGCATAGGTTTCTTCGCGGAATTCTGTAATTAGTATTTTTTTTTTTTTTTTTACTTAATATCTCAATACTTGGTCTTATGATATTTAACTTTTTGGGTACTGCGTAGCTGACAGTCTAGAGTCGCCGCGCAAAGAATCAATTGCAGCATGCTAATCACGATTTGTATTGCTTATACTTTCGCAATACAGTGTGATATGCAGTTATCGATTTGTAAAAAAATTCATATTCGATACAGTATTTAAATATTAACAGTATCTAATGGGAATACACTTACAGTCGTATAAGTTAATGCTCGGACATATATGTATATGTGAACGTTAGGCGATTGCCAACCATAGTCGACTATCGTACCGAAAGAGTTAAATTCCATACTAATATCAAAGTGAGAACAAACCTTCAAAAAGTTGTTGCTTGTTTGTCGTAAGACGTTCTGTATTCAATGGTATAAATATAGGTCCCCTTAAAGGATCACTTTTCAAAGTGAATGGTAGAGCTAGTAGATCACTAGGAATAGGAACCATTTGAATTCCACACATTTGAGCTTTACGTTGCCATACAAATATCTTTCAGAAATAAAAGTGAAATTTAATATTAATAACTTGTGGAATTTCACTTCAATGTAACGTGCAAAGAGTATTATTTGTACACTTACAAGATCAGCAACTATACTACCAGACGATGCTACCCATTGTACTACGAGTTCATAAGAATGATCTACTTTGTATATGGACTGGTATCTTAAATGACCCCATTCAATTCGGTCACTTCTATTATTTAAATCAATATCTAAATGAGTATGCTTGTATGGTGGAGCTACAATAAAGACAACATATTTTAAGGAACTAAAAATAGATATCAAACGGTGGCCCCAAAGTTGTATCAGGCCACTTTAATTTACCTCGCCGTTCTTTATCGTCTATGGAGTCGATTAAATCTAAATCATCTTTGAGGAATGATGGTACATTTGATTCGTCCACTGTATCACAACTAGGTATGGTTATAGGCGAAGACATTGTTGGGAAAGTTCCCGGTGAAGTAGGTTCGCACCAACCTTTCGGTGCCGTTATTTCTACTTCTACCCATTCGTTTTCGAAGCTTTGTAAATCGCCCGTAGGTGAGAAATAATCCGTTGCTTAAAAATGAAAACGTTACAGAAGATAACTTGTAAAGTTTTTTACAATGTATTATACAAATGACCTATGAAAAGTTTTTCTTCTTACCTCTTTGATTTTCTTTATCGTGCACTACATGGTATAAATAAAATCCTAAAATAAATGGTTTCGAGAAATCACCAGAAGCGTGGCATATTAATTTCTCTTGTATCATACCCTGGATCAAAAGATAATATTATATATTGATTGATTATCGAGTAATGCGTTAATAGACCATTCCTTACATTCATAATGATAATGGCTTCGTTCACTGTTACCCCTCCTTCTATATGATTATTTAACCACTGCACAGCATCTGCGCTAACGAATGTTTGGCTTGGGAGCGATGGGTGTTGGGTGAGAAACCCGACACCAGATTGGGGGTGTTTCATCGCTTCTAGAATTTCATTGTTTGGCGCAGTATTTTTTATCTTCGTCAACTCCATGTTTGTACTGTTGATATGAAGTTTATGTTACTCAAATGACTATGTAAATAATTCACTCGTTTATTTTACCTGTCTTCGTTAGATTCAAAATGATCTTGTTGTTCAAGCGAAAGGGGTAAAACAGCTTCACTAGCTGGTGAGATTCGACCTCTATCCATCACTTTAGAACCCGACCTGAAAGACGTAGGGAAAATGAAATTACACGATATTTATAGAAAAATGCATTAATGATAGAACATAGAGTGATTGAAAAATTAAGCAATGTTTCAAAATTGCAATATGAAAAGCCACAGAATTTCTTTGCATATGTACATCATTTGCGTTTATTTTAAACATTCATTATAATCGAATGTTGTTTCAACAATACGTATGTACATCATGAGAATAAAGTGTAATAGTATTTATAAAATTGTACACTGTAAATTGTAAAAGTACAACAAATTTATTAATTTAATATTGCATTAATTAATTACATATGTTAGAATATATTCCCGGGTGTTTCACGTGAGCGGCGCTACAAAGTTTCAAAACTTTCTGCTTCAGACAACCAAACACTCAAAGGTACCGCGGTATTGCCCGACTTCTATTGACTTTTAATACATTTGTATTTTTTTTTTTTTATATATAAAACATTTTGTTATTAATAAGTATTTAAAAAATGCTATGGTTTATTTAAGAAACAAAAGGTAACATTTATATCTCTAGACTATGATTTACGAAATTTATGCATACGTGAACATACATAGTTCAACTTTGATCTAACACAATTTTTTGTAAAATTCAAGGAAAGTCCTGAAATTTTGTGGCACCACTTACATGGAACACTCAGGTATATTTACGAAGTAGTTTTTGACGGTACATTAAAATTTTTACTACTATTTCACTATTGACACATTTGACATGTACATACATATCTAGTCGATAATAGCGAATATTCCATTTTATACTGGAATTCAAAGAAATTAAAAGAGTAAAACCAACCTGTTTGGCACGTGGCGAGGAGTGTCGAGGCACGTGCGGGCAGTCGCAGCGGTATTCACTACATGCCTCTCCTGTACAGAGAACCCCGTCACTCCCTCACTCACTACCAATATTTTCTACTTTACAGAGCATTTGTATATTTTGCAGTCATACATTGTAACAATTGGCTTTAATCGTTTCTGTTTAAATATAAAATAAATCTGTACAAATGCTCTGTCTCTTATATTTACTAAAATATGTAAAGAAAGATAAAAGCAGCTGAAAGATACAGAAATAGGTTCTATGTACAAAGATTTTTCAGACATGAACAAATAAAGTTTTGTTGTGTTCCAATCGCATCCTTTTTAGAAATAAAAGTGCCTCAGGGGTACCATTTACATACTTATCACCATAGTGAAAGCATGCCACATTTGTAAGCATATCACAAAATCATAATGCTGCTTAATACAACACGACAAGTGTACGAAAAGTTTCATGTGAACCAATGTCATTAATCAACATCTTTTGACAGAACATGCAGGTGTGCAATTTGTTAACAAATGTGTGCCATGTATATCCATTGAAAAATATACATTCGCGATGCTTCTATTGGAAAGTCTCCTAAAAAAATGTAATATATTTAAATATGGAAAATAGCATTATCCAAATAAAAAATAATTAAACTATTCGTGGTAGTAATTCATTTTTTGCCTGTATATAATAGTGTATTTCGGTTGAATTCTAAATATTTTGCTATAAGGAGGTCATAAAATATAATTTGTATAAAGCATAAGACTATGTAGTCAGACTTTAATTACATCAAATTTTAAGATTATCACATCCAAAATGATTCGTATGTATATATTCGAAGAGAAATCCGGTTTATTAATTGAACGTATGTAGCACGAAGCAAACAAGCAAAATGAAAAACCAGCAAACATTAAATTGCAATGGTCCACCATCACAACATAGATACACTTCAAGCTATACCATTACATTTGCACAAAGCGTAAATTGTTGAAATCATCAATCTAAGCTTGTTCAAACCTTGGTCTTGGTTTCTCTGGTAGACGATTGCTTCCGAGTCGCTCCCTGAAGGGAGAGCTGCCAACTAGACTGGTCTGAAAAGCATGATGAATAGTATGGGTAACTGTAAATGTATGAATAAGCTCGTGATCATGAAGATGTATATCTGGCTTGTTTAACTGCAATGATATAATTGTTAAATATTATATTTAAAAAAGACCAGTATTAAATTATATAAAAAAAAAGAAAGAATAAATTACACGTCAATAATTTGCATTATGTAAAAGCTTGCTAAAATATGTGCGCATTCAAGGCAAATAACAGGCATGGTTGCATTCATCGTGGGATATGTTTGTGTAAGCTGTCTGAACATTCTAAATAATCTCCGAAATAAAGGGGATGAAAATTCCAATCGAAGTTTATGTCTCTTGGGGATCCGAGTAAACGGTGTTTATGCATAGATAAAAACACATTGAGATTTCAAAGACGACGTTCCTGTGATTGCCAAGAAGGCAAAATGGTATGTAGTTTGAAGCCTGAGTACATTAACGATGTCATTTACAGCTGGTTCAGCATATTGAGGCTACAGGATGCGAGGATATACCTGGTTAGTGAGGACTATAAGGCTCGTGCTGTGCCTGCGTCTGGTCAAGTGAGAGGCAGGATCTCTCGGGGGAACACCACCTACAGTTGAAGGGTTCTGAAACATATCATGCTAAATACCCCTCCCTGTACTAACATTCCACTAATCGATCTGAATCTACTGTTGTGCGTATACGTTTACAGTTAGATCCCGAAATCAGTCGATACCCGATGTAATTAGTCAGAATTAGACTTATCAAAGGCTTTTCGTCAATACTAATATTAATTAGTCAAAACTAATGTTGACGAAAGAGATTTGTTAGAACTAGTACTGACTAGGAAGATTGGGTTTCAATTGTAACATGTATGTATATCTCGTATAACTGTGTAATTTCGGCATAGATGGCCCCCTTGCTGTAATATTACATCGAAAAATATGATACCAGAAAAAGTAGTTAATATACAGGGTGTATCAGCTAACTTAATCACCTCGCATAATGACATAACGTTACACTTTATGAAAATTTTGAGGAATGGAACTTAAATGGCATCAAGGGGCACACCTTATAAGGTACATGCTTCTTTTTTTAGTGGAGGTATTTCAGGGATTTTAAGGTCACCTTGATTTTTTTTTTTAACGGAATGACCTATTTGTTCTACCATAGATCGATATAGTATCAAATTCTGAGTAAAAATGTGTTGACTTTCATACGTCCTAAACCTAATAGTTGATGCCATTTATGTTCCACGCCTCAACATTTTCATAAAGTGTACCGTTAAGTCATTATTCGAGGTGATCAAATTAGCTGAGACACCCTGTGTAATAAAATGCATTTGTCTCAAGAGTGTTATATCCAACATTATTTAAGTGCCGTATAAGCTGATAAATAATCGTGCTCCTCCCTTATTATTTGTAAAATAGCCGACATGTTATTGCTTGTTACGTTTTCTACATATCTAATGCACGGTATACAGGACCACACTAATAAATATCAAAGTGGCAATGTGTCAAAACTTTTGTAAAACGCATTGCGAGGGTAACAAAGATTCACGATTCTTGACGTGAAATAAAATGATACACGCTAAATAATAAGTACATACTCAAAAATAAAATTAAAGCATTGAAATAAATTGCAATTATTTAGGCGTTGTACACCAGGCATGCGACATCCAATTATAAGGTGCGATAATACGGCATAGTATAATACAAAATAAATCTTTAACTAAAACTTTTTTTATCGTGTAAATTAAGTAATAATAATATCAAAGCACTTTTCATCGAATACTAAAAAAAATTATCCGTTTCAAATCATTTTCACCTATATAAGGAATCAGTAACTTATACCCATTTAACAGTCCCTATGAATGGAATCGTCAGATTATATTATATTACAAAGTAATTATCCCAAAACGAATTACCCAGTTTTTGTTGGGGTTCTGGCGTCGTATTTTATTCGGCCAGAGTTCAATGAAGCGTAAAAATCCATCCATGAGGGACACTTGTTCGGCGGTAGTAAGTGGTGTGTATATATCGCATCTCGATGAACCTTCTAAAAATTTTCGTGTTACCGAAGTGTGTAAAGGTAGTAGAAATACTCGATCCTCGACTAAAGCAAAATCAGTGTGGCCTCTTGTACAAATGTAATGATCTAAATAATTCCAATTATAATTTTCTAGTTTTTCCGTTGTAAATGACACCCACGACACTTCATACGTATCGTGATGTGGTGCGTGAAATCGGTACCGATAATGTATATTAAATGGTGGATAAGGATGCCTACAAATGCACGTAATAAGAATCTTTTTTCTTCAGTCTCCATTCATTTATGGGGAAAATAAGTTATTTACCTTGGTCGATACCGTGTAACTGTTATACAGTTATCAAATAACGATATTTTATGAAAAATTCTACCAATACTTAACAAGTATTCTTCCTTTGGTTCTGATTCTGTTTGTCGACCGCGCATTACAGAACTTATTGCTGGGACTGCACTGCCAGGCGTGTTAGTTTGATTTTTGTTAGTTGTAGGCAAAATAATCAATTGAAATCCCTGAATACAAAATGTTCGTATGCGTAAGTACATATGTAAAACAATTTGCATTTTAAATCCGGATAAATTTATTACAATATATGTACCTGTGCTAGCCGCTGCGACACAAGCTCTTTAAATACTTCTACAGTTGTTAAAGGCTTTTTATATATTGCTCGTTGTTGGGCGAAGTCTGTATTAACATCATCTGGCAGAAGATTATAATCTGAGACAACATAATCATTTTGCAAACTCCTTTTGTCCGGGAAATAATCTGTGGTAATAGGTAAACATGCTGGGATTGTCAGTGATTTCCAATCGACACCTAAAAAGTAAGGTATAGAATACACGTAAAAATATACATACATTTAAAGTTGATAAAAACAGTGGAAAATCTACTTAATCTTTGGTGTTAATTTCCTATTATAAATAAATATTACGTTTAATAATCTGTAACAGTTAATATGAACACACATATGTATCGGGGTGACTTCGATTGTGCAATATTAAAAATATATTACTAATGTGACCAATACTATGTAGTTATTTCAACATGCAATGCAAAATATATTAATTGTAATATAATTCAATAGATCTTTAACATAATGAATGATACGGATTCATACTACGAAGCACAACAAACAGAATGGAACTTACAAGAGTTGTACAAATTTATGCATAGTTGGTGCAACCAAATTACTTTATAATCTACAGAAAGAAGAGCATGTGCTAAGCTGATAGAGAAGTAAATTACTACATATTAGTAATAAATTCTACTAGATATTATATACTACAAAAAAAAGATTCATTATTCACAATAAATAAATGTCAGAGTTAAAGCTGTATGATAAAGTGAAAGGAGTATAAAGCAGATGAAAGAATATTTGAAAAGTGCAAGAACTAGAAAAGAAAACTATTTTACGAGAAGGAAATAAAGAATTTTAAATAGTGAAAAGGTACGAATTAAACAGAAGTGAAAAATAATAAAAAAAAAAAACTTTAAGTAGGTGTATACATAATCATAATACTAATATTCAATAGACTATCTATAGAAATTACATAGGAATTAGAATTTGTTTATATTTCAGGGAGGGTATACATGCATAGAAGAATCATAAGAACCTGAGGAATAAAAAAAACTAAACAATTATAAACTTAATGCCCTAAAAGTATGTGTACCATAACCGAATCAACCCCCAATAACGTATGGGCGCTAACCTATGATTGCTGTTTAATGTGACATCACAGTTGTACATCACACACGCGTCAATACGTCCAGCGTTGCATCCCAATAAGACGTACCATAGCATGGAAATAAATTTAACAATATTATACATATACATGATCGGTGAAGTAGAAAAATAAATATGATTATGTCTAAGAATGAAAATACTTCTTATGCATGATATGATTTGTGTGATTGTGTACCAAAAACGTTCATTTAATTCACATGATGAACAATTATTTTCTTTTTAAGTATACACCAACTATTTTCATTCTTTAAAAAAATATAGTTCAAAATCATTAGTCAATCCTGTTAAGTACTAATTATGAATAAAAAGGAGCTTAATTTAAGGGTTTGATTTTTGAAATCAACACTGTAATTACTGTTTTAATATACAATTAATATTATGCATTGTAGAAATTTATTGCTTGTTTAATTGAATTGATTCAAAATTCTTTCTTCAAACTGTAAACTCATTTTATGATAATTTATGAATAACATAACATGGCTGGTGATGTTATTTGGATGAATTATGTAATATTGTTTGCTAATCTATTCTCCCTGAAAAGTTTTTATCGGATGAACATATGCAAACCTGTAGTTAATGCTGGTGTCCATTCCTGTTCGCCAGTAGCACCCCATAATAGTGTCAAAGACTTACTTCCTGTTGAAGATACTGGGTTTCCACCTTTATCGCTATTCGATAGAGATAGATTTAATTTTTGTGATTTGCTTTTATTATCTGCGAAAAAATGAAGTTATAATAATGTCTGGCATACAACTTTATACAGGGTGATCCTCCTGTTACGCAAATCAAAGGCCATGCCGCTCTAAAGAACCACCGTGTTGGCGCGTGTGTGTGACCTCGGGGCGTCATGTACAGTAAGGACCAGTCGACAGATTATATGTTATTATTTATTGTTGAACTAAGACAGAGTTGGGAAAAATGTAGTCTAATTACAAAATCCAAATGACAATCACAATATAATCGCAAAACAATGACAATTACATTGTAATTGGAATTTAGATTTTGTAATTAGATTACATTTTTCCTAACTCTGAACTAAGATTACACGTGCCAACCCGGCGATTCTGTAGAACGTCACGGCTTTTGATTTTCGCAGCGAGAGGATCGCCCTGTATAAAATACTAACGATCTTGAAATTAATTTATTTATACCAATGATTTCAGTATTTTCCAGGGGTGATCCGTTTACAGTAGAAGTAACGTCAGACTGTGATTGTGAACACATTTGTGCTGGCACAGCTTGATAATGATGTTGCTGTATGAGTACACCTGTTGGGCCTGTAACATTAACTGGACTCAATGACATATCATACCGTTTTTTTTCTTTAATATTTACCTTTAGGAAAAATGTGTGTCCATCTCCGTCTGTTGCTAGTAAGTTTGATTGTAACATGGGAAGGATCGAAAGGATTAATAAGTGCCCTGCTAGGTCTAATGATACTTGTCGGTTGAGATATTGCATTTGTTGGACTCCCAGCGCTACCAACAACTGGCCTAAAGGGTGGTGATATTTCTGAATCCGTTAAATCACTTTTGACCGATGTTCTTGATTCTATTTTGTATAAAATTAAACGTTATCTTTGAGAAATACATGTAAATGAATATTCTACTTAAGTAGTTTTGATACATGCCATTAATTTCTCCATTCGATTCACTGCTAGCAATGTCATCTGTTCTATGAGGTATTGAGATTGCTGCACTTCGCGTTGCAGCTATTGGAGTTGAATGTATTTCCGGTGGCGGATGATGAATATCGGGGTCGGACATTTTTCTTTTCAAAAGTTTCAATATGTGTGCATTATTATGTGTTTCCATGCTAACAACGCTTGTCTTTTTGGTCCTAGTTGTAACTCGTTGCAGGCTGCGTATACAACATGTTGAACTATTGTACTACAGTATCGAACTTGAAAATTACAAATGATACAATACAATTTCTTATATTCTACCTGGAAGTATGAACAGTGGGTAGTTGAAAAACTTGTGCATCATATGCATCATAGTCGAATAAAGTATTATGTAAACATTCCCTTGGATCTTCTTGTAAAAGCTTATTTTTACATTGAAACTTTCCATTTTCTGTCCATGATTGTTTCGATACCTTCTGAGGAAGTTTTATGCGAGGTATAAATGTTGAATAGGGAATTTTTTTATTTGTTGAGTAAAAACTGAGATTAATCCAGTGTGGCATACTATAATCGTCTGGTGCCTTTATAGATGTGTCTTTATTGTGGAACTAAAATTATATAGTGAATATTAATGTGTGCTGAAATATTATTATAATAGTAGTTAATACTTTTAACACATTAAAAGTACCTTTAACAAGGGAACTGCATGTAACGGTTGTTCTCCAACACACACTAAGTCACTACCAACTCCATTATCAATGATTCTTTGTTTTGTAACATTTGTCAACTCTCTATCAACTTCAAAAACACCCACACCAGGTGTAATTACCACTGACAATTGCCCAGTTCTATCAAAACTACGATCTAAATAATGTTTCTCAAACACTGTAAAGAAATCACATTTAAATGTAATATACAACGATTTCGCAATGCGATAATTATTATTACCATTTAGGGACATGTTTAAAACTTCTAAAAAATTTCCTTGTGCAGCTGTTGAATTTACCGCTTTTGGTATAATACCACCTGGTTTCTGATGATATTCTAATACAATTTTCTGATAGTCTGTAAATAATTTACGTAATTGCACTAATACATTGCTCCAATCTTCAAATCTCTCATTCTGTACAACCACCCTGTAAAAATCTTCATAAAACCTTCCCCTATAATCATGTTGTAAACATTCACGCATATGATTTGGGAATTCTTCCAAACTAGCAGCATTATAAAATGTTCTTGAAAATAGAACTATTGTCACTTCATGATTGCTACCATTCTTTTTCCATTTTTGAAACAAGTCAGCTAGAAAGCCGTTAACTGCTTTTTCAAAGTATAGGTCACCATGAATGTCAAAGTCCCACATTTCAGAACTCATTTGAATGAAAAGATACACCATACTCGTGGAAGAACGAAATACAACCTAAAAGCAATGCTTCTAAAAATAAATATTTCACATATATTTTATACTATTATATTTTAATAAACACCTTAGTATCATTATTTATAACACCGCAAGCAACTCGATCTCCTTGTGACCACATCTCATACACCTGACATCTGATACTACCACCACAAAATTCAATTTTCTTGTTCATGTATACACAAGTGTTAACCTGATAAAAATTTATGTAGATTGTAAAATGAAGACGTCAAAAGATCTATGTCTATGTCTAAAAGTAAATAATATATTCTACCAAGCTATTTTTCAACCTCCACATTTCGCTGCGCCCCAAATATTGATCTTTGAAGGTAAGTTCAACAGAATCCAAAGCTACATCATCTGGATTTACAACATTCATGTAGACATCCCCAAATGTTCTTAGTTGAAACATTGTTGCTACATTATTTTCCACGCTAATTGTCTCACGTCCTTGTAAGTCTTCTTTAAAGGATGTGACTTGCAATAGAAGACGACTGAACTCAACTTCTGGATGATAAATCTCAACAACATCTCCAGTCTTTATGCCTGGATGATCTTTCGGATTGATTATAAGGTCTTCTTCACTAAATGTTTTCTGATGAACTATCAACTTATAAAGCTTCATCTTTAGCCCATTACTCTGTTGATAGTAAGTTCAACTGTAATGTACGACAAAAATAAATTAATAGGCACTTGGATGTAAATGAAAATTATCATGCATTTGACATGTGTTTTGCAAAGCAACATTTAAACATTCTTAAAATTAGACATTAGCTATTCTTAATGTTCCAAAAATGAGAAATAAAATATTTGTTCTGCATGTATAGCATCATTAGAGGTATGTATACATTGTATATGACATTGTGATAAAATAAATGCAATTAACTTACTACCAATATTTACCTAATATAAAATATTTCTTCAAAATATCCAGACAAAATACTGCTCCCCCAATAATACATTCATATTACATTGCCATCAATGCATTATTAAAATATGTCAATAAGTCATTATTTTGAAAAAGTAAACAAATGAGTTTTCCTCTGATTTAGGTGAATTTTAAGACCTTTTTCTCCTCCAACTTAAGTCTGTATAAATCCTATGACATATAATTGATTTAAATTGGTGTTTATTTAGTCTTCAATGCACAGGGGAAAAAAATTAATATGAAACTCAACATCCAAATTTCCAGTATGCTTTATTCTTTAGAATTTTGGTCACACATCTGTTTTATAAAAGAATATAACTAGCCACCAGCTCTTTTTAAGCGATCGTTAAAATTTGTTTGATGCATTGACCGTATGCAGTTGAATTACTTAGTTATAAAATGATACGATCGCATGAACAAATTAAGTCTCGAATAATCCGTATTTTGATAAGAAACAACACAAGCTTCACAGAACACTAAACATCTTTAAACCAACAATGGTCCATAACAATTGGATTTAAGATGACGAAAGATAACTGTGTTGTTGTCACAAATTGATAAATTACATATATTCAACTACGGCATAACAAATTATAGTCGCCGAAGTATGTTGGTGTTACCAGAGAGGAAATGATAGTGCTAACGCCCGGGGTTTCGGTGTTCTGTGATGACTGCGCAGTGCACAGTGTGCACACAGATAGTTCGCGCCACCACCGCGTGAGAATTGAGGACTAGGTTAAGGAATACATTCTCATTCAGTGTCACAATCTATCGTATCAATTGAAATTGGTTTTATGTAACCGGAAAATAGTTGGCAACGGATGTTAACGTATCTTAACGATTTATATCTCAAAAAATTGCTGTCAATTTGCTCTTTCCGAATTTGAAATTGCTCCAACAGCACCGTTTATATTTAATGAGATATTCGCAAATGAAAAAGCAAAAATTTGTCGTTTGCACAATAGATACATAGTCCATGGTCTTTTTACACAAATATTATGGCACCAATCACCGAAGGAACCATGAACGCAAATTCTTCTGTTCGATGAATAATAAACGTATTAACACAATTTCCATCTATCCACCTTTCGCAATATTTTACAACTAAATTAGATATCTAAATATTCTTATACCAACGATACGTAAATCCCACGGCGGATGACTTCTTTCTTGAGTCTACCTGAAAGTACAATAAATCAAAGTAGAACACAGTTAATTAATATAAATCAAAATAAAATACAATTAATTAAAATAAATTAAAATAAAACACAGGTAATTAAAATAAATCAAAATAAAACACAATTAATTAAAATAAATCAAAATAAAACACAATTAATTAAAATAAATCAAAATGAAACACAGTTAATTAAAATAAATGAAAAAAAAATCCCAATTCATTAAAATAAATCAAAATAAATCACATATAATTAAAATTAGCTAAAAAAAAAGGATGTGCAAATCAATTCGTCGAGTTCGGATAAGAGAGGTTGCCATGTAAAACCCCCCAATGAGCGCCAATAGTCGGTGATGCTAAAAAAAGAAGATTAGGAATTATTAATCGAGTTCGGATAAGAGAGGGAGGACTCATTAGGCACCACTGAACACCAAGCTATATTGGGAGAAAAAAAAAATCCAACCTGTTAGTCGGGTTTGGATAATAGAGAGGACCCCTTGAATCCTCTTGACCAGTGTCCACTAGTGTCCACCAGTGGTAGGCAGAGATGGGAAGACCTCCACGAGGTCCGCGAACGCGAGTGAACTGAGGTTTCTTCGTTGCGCGCTCGTATTTATGGGCTCACGGCGATAGCGAGTTTGCGCGCACGAATGCGCGGACAAGTGCGCGAAGGTTGAACGCACTGGAAACTCGAGCGCGCCATAAATTATTACTCGATTAATTTATTATTTCTAACAAGGTAATTGTTATAACAATTACCTCTCCGAGGAACATTGTTAAACAGTCTGTCAGCTGTCTTATAATGCAAATTGTTATTGTTTATAACAAAGATAAATCGAAATATACGGAAACGTTCAAGATACCGACCGTGTAATGAACTTTCACGTGGAATAAATTTTATTTATATTCTCAAACTGCTAGCCAAATTATACCGACAGGTGAGTGAAAATATCTGATGATGGAAAAATGCGCATTACTCGGTAATTAAGCGCTTAAAATGAACGTCGTTAGTCTCAGATTGCACCTCATGACTTATTGCTTGGACCCAATAGTGCAGAACCTCAGAATTAGTAAAATTATTTATGCCTGTATTACCGCAGCCCCTTATGGAGCGGCAACCCTAATTGCAACAGAGTTCGATCGCATTTACACCTCTGAACGTGCATCCTTTCTCTTCGTCACGCATTAAATTCGAAGTTTAAAGAACGTAGAAAATAATACTCTCTAACGGCTGGGAACCAGTAATTACAAGAACATTGTTAAAATCACATTTATTTGCAACGGTCGACACTGTATCTCATCACGCGTACCCCGGTTAGTTCACTTTGGACAGCTCGTACACCGTTATACAGACAGCTTTCGTTTAGCCGAAGCGCTGAATTTGTAGCTGAAAGAACGTAGATTAATCCCATGTCATTGAAAAT